GGGAAGGAAAGGGATTCAGCATAGGGGCATGACAACGGAGGAGCTGAATCCAAGGAGTACAGCTGCTGGGAAATGAGTTGACTAGGCTTCCGCATCCTCTTTATGTGGAGACTTTTTGAGGAGTTTTTTGCTCCTCCCTCTGACACTCCAATCAGAGGAGCAGAAGATATTGATGAGATATGAGTACCCAAACTGATGCAAACTCCCTGATGATGACAACATACATAAAGTATTTTTTGCAAACCTTAAAGCACATACAAATACAACTTATTATTATTACCATTATTATTTTTATAAGCCAGCAGGCCTGTGGAGATTGATCGTTAGCCTGGCTCATCCACAGGCCCAGGGAATGCCAGAAGTGCCAGGTCTATCTGGCTAATGATCAAGCTTACTTGGGAATCTTAAGGAAAGATGGAAGAGATGGTTACTGGTCTAGCCAAGCTATGCCTGGTGCTGGAGTAGAGGGTATGTAATGTGTGGATTGTATGTAACTGCAACATGTGTTAGCTATCTTTGTCATATGTTTCTATGCAATGTGTGACTGCTGTTATATTATCCTTCATTGACATATGTGCCTGATACATGTGCTAGGATGGAATGTAATGTACTGCTATTGCTTTTTGGGTCTGGAGTTCTGAGGCACTGGCTCGAGGTTCTCTCCCTACTGGACACTGGGCCCTCCAGGACTAGACCTCTGAAGACCATGAATCCCCACCCTACTCTTAACTCCTAGGAAAGTTAATCTACTCAGCTTTGAAACCGTCCAGTGGCTGTGGAACTGTCCAGTGGCTGTGCTGTCATGGATGGTGAGTACGAATGTAACCTAACCCACCATATCTAATCTAGCAGGCCCCAGGCCATGCTTCATATCCCATTCAGCCATATACGCTGGGAATCTTGCCATCCTCCCTACCAGGTGCAAGCACTCATTCCCCCCACCTCTTGCTTTGGGAACAGTAATCTAATGCTAGCCACCATGGGAGGCAGGCCTCCCAGATCCCACATACATACTCTAGCAAAACATTGAAGTTCCTACCAGGCCAAATAATAACCAAGCAATCCAATGAGAAACTATAGTGAGTTGCATTTTCCCCTACAGGACTGCACAAAGTCAGCCAGCAAGCCCACGGGACATAGGAAAGGACCTTCCCCTACAAACCCCCTGTTAAGTCCACATTGGTACCTCACAGCACCATGTACCACACTGAACCAGACACATGTGGCCTGTACAACTCTGTAATTGGAGGCAGCAGAACAGGATGCAATGAAAAAAAATCCAGAGTGGTCAGAAAGCTCCAGAATGGGAGCCCTGGGGAACAGTAGTAGGCAGACACTAGTCTAAGGCACAAAGGTGGTGCCCCAGCGCTCAAAGTGGGATGGGCCCAGGGTCTCTGAGGTCCCTAACACTCTGTTCTAAGACACCAGAGAGAACCCTGAAGAACCTCAAAGATCCAGAGTGGGGTTGAACCCTGGGAGGTAGAGGTCAGCACAAGAATCCAAGGTATAACCAAGCAGAGCTGACCACTTGACCCAAAAGTGCAGCAGGAGCTAGAGCTTGGCTCTGGCAACAAAGCCTTGATTTAGGACCTAAAGCTGGAGAGGAGTACATTCAAGAAAATATCACACCCTTTATCAAGAATTATTGCAAATCTAACTCCATGATAACTGTAAGCAGAGACTTAAAGGGGAAAAAAATGGGTAGTCCCCAAGGACTACATGAATACTTAGAAAAATGATGCAAAAGATAAAACTTGAAATAAAGGCTTTGGGGTAAAGAACTGGTAGAATAAGTAGCTGAGAAGAAAAAGTAGCAAACCTTACCCAAGAAATGGAATCCCTCAAAAACAAAACAGACCAAACTGAAATCAATGACTCTATGAGACATCAAGAAATATTAGAACAAAATCAAAAGATTTTTAAAAGCAAAAGAAACTTTAAGATATCTGATATCAAAAATAACTGACCTGGAAAAATAGGTCAAGGAGAGGGAATTTAAGAAACCTTGGACTCCCTGAAAGCCATGTTTAAAAAAAAAAATGAATAAAGCCTAGAAACTACATTTCAAGAAATCATCAATGAGAACTACCCAGATCTATTAGAACCAGAGGGCAAAGTAATGGAAAGAATCCACCTATCACTTTCTTTTGGCAAGGCAACTGGGGTTAAGTGACTTGCCCAGGATCACACAGCTAGTAAGTGTCAAGTATCTGGTCTGAGACTGGATTTGAACTCAGGTCCTCCTGACTGCAGGGCCAGTGCTCTATTCATTGCACCACCTAGCTGCCCCACACTGATCACTTTCTGAAAGGAACCTTGAGGGGAAAAGTTCCAGAAATGTCCTAGCCAAAATTCAAAGGTCCCAGATGAAATTAAAAAATACCACAAGCACCCAGAGAGGCAGTTCAAACACCAAGAAACTACAGTGAGGCTCACACAAGACCTAGCAGCTTATACGAAAAACGAAAGGAGATCTTGGAATACATATTGTAAAAGACAAAAGAAACAGGCTTATAATCAAGAATAACTTACCATGTATACCTGAGTATAATCTAGGGGGGAGTAAAATGGACCTTTAATGGAAGAAAGTTAAATAATAAAAACAGAGGTCTGGGGGTTGGGCTGGTTCTGTTCCAAGGGTTCAAGGAAGGAAATGAGAAGGGAAGATAGGAGGGAAACACTAATGTAGAAAGGAGGAAGGAAGGGGTGGAACTTGCTAATTCTCATTATCAGAGACAGGAAGAAGAAAATAGAAACATGGTAGAAGGGGTAAAGGGAGGGAATGGGCATTGGTTGAACCTCAATTATTTGAAATGGGCAAAAAAGGATTGAACACACATACACACCAAAGTTCAGTGTAAAAAATACATTAAACTCAACAAGGAAACAACTAGGGAAAAAGGAAAGGAGAATTATGAGGGAGGATAATAAAGGGAAGAAATAGTCACCAAAAAAAAATTAACTTCTTTATCCTGAAGGATTAAAAAGAGAGGAAGAAGAAAGCAAAACAAAGAATCTAAGGGAGGTGGTACAAATATGTAGTATATGAATTAATAAGAAGTGACAATAGAGGCAATTTCCAAGAAACTTGGGCAGTATGAACTAATGCAGAGTGAAGTGAACTGAACCAGGAGAACCATGTATATACAAGGACAGCAATGCTATCAAGAGAAACCACTTTGGAAGGCTTAAGAATGCTAATCAATGCAATGGCCAGGCCCACACCTCCAGAGGATTTGTGAAGAAGCAAGCTATCCACCTTAGGACAGAGAAGTGGTGGGCACAAGGTGAGGAAGGAGGTATACGTTTCTGGACACAGACACTGTATGGACTTGTTTCTGGACACAGACACTGTATGGACTTGTTTTGCTCAGCAATGCTTATTTGGTAGAAGAATTTTTTCCCTTTGTTATTCCCGGTTAAGAGAGGGAGGGCAGCAATAGTGACGCCAAGAGAGAAACAGAGAGATAAAGACAGGGAAGAGAGAAAGGGAAAGAGGGGAGAAAGAAAAAGGGAGACAGAAAAAAAGGGGAAGGGGAAGAAAAGACACAGAGGAAGAGGAAGAGAGAGCACACCATTGTACTTTTTTTTAAACGCACAGAGAACAAAAAGAACAGAAGGAAGTACAGTCAAACAGGACAGTTTTTGAAGTGATGGGTAGAATTATGTACTTATTAAAAATGCAAGCTGTATGAAAATGGAAACACAGCTTCACACAGAATTCTTTCTTCGTATTCTGCTGTGTATATGAAGATTCTTTTTCTAGTGTTTAAAGAGCAGAATTTTAAATTTAAAATGCAAGTGAGTCAACCAGACCATAGGGCCACTCGCCTCACCCACCACTGTGAAGCCTAGACTAACACTCACTCCCTTTCCCAGCCACTATTTTTTTTTCCCCAACTGGTGGCACTCCTCTGGACTTCCCCCTCACACCCCAGGAACATTTTCCTCCTGCAAGATCAGATCGGTCTTGGTTCTTACCCTCTGTCCCTGGGGCCCTTCTGATTGGGAGTGGGGTGGGGGGCGAACAGAGAGCTCCTCCCAAACCTTCATTTAAGGAAGGTGCCCAGGCCAGCCATTTCTTCATATCCCATGCAGCTGTACTCCTCCAGATTTCGCCATCATGCATCCACCAGGTACTTTCCCCCTTTCTCTCCCTACCCCTCCCCTTTACCAGCTTCCTTTTACGTGCTGTCTTCTCTCATTAGAGTGTAAATTCCACGAAGGCAGGAACTATCTTTTTATGTATTTGTATCCCCAGCAAGCTGTACAGAGCCTGATACATATATAGTAAGTACTTAATAAATACTTATTAACTATTTCCCTGCATGTTGTCTCCACATAACTAGAATGTAAGCTTCTTAAAGGCATAGAATGAGGGCCTCAATGCACATAGCACAGGCTCTGGAATGCAATAGGTGCTTAATAAAGGCTTTTCCATAAATTCATTTCAAAAGGCACGTTCATTCAATAACCTTATCTCCTAGATCATGAAGTGTACCTTGAATATCAGCCTTCTACATAGCTCAAGGTGTAGCACTGCACACCTGTGTTCTAAATAATCAGCACCTAAAGTGTGTTTTGGCTTAAATTATAGTCACGTATACACTGTGATACAAGAGATAGCCATACTTAAACATGCTACCATACCATAACTATTTGAAAGCAACTGGCCTAGCATATTAAAAAAAGAAGAAAAGAAAAATATCAAGAAACTATACTGTCCAATCACAAAATGTGAAGCCTCAAAGTATCAAGGCATCTCACATGAGAACACTGGACAGCAACCTATACCAGAGCACCTGGGGGTACTCCAGCTTCCACTCAGATCTCTCCCCTCCCAAAAGAAGCTACTGTGGGTTCAAGATACTCTGTGGGACTGCAGCCACTCAAAAATTATACTTATGAAGCCTCCACTGTTATTTTTTATCTTGAGAAAAAAGACACAAATAATTTGAAAAAATTTCATTTAATAGAATAAAATTTATGAAAAGCAGAAACATTAGAACATTTTGCCCCCATCCACCTGGGTACTCTCTCCTGAGAAGACATATATACTGAATGCAAAGTGAGTATGTCTAGAAAACAGGGGGGCATACAAAAGTGGAATACACATGGCCAGAGTGCACATGTGAAGAATCCCACCATACAGAAGAAACATGAATAAAGCATGTGCACAATAGGCATCACTTTAGGAGACAGCATATGCAGCAAGGCTCCTGGGCGCAACTCGTGGAGCAACATCAGAGCCATTCACCATACGGAGAGGAGCACGGACATTCAAAGCATCAGGGTAAGGCTCCTGTCTGGCAACAGTGTTGGAGGGGCTCCCTTGTGGAAATATTTGTGGAAGGTCTCCCGAGGGGGCAGGCTGACTATTTGGAGCAGGACCCATGCGAATGGGCAGCGCATAAGGTGCTCCAACGTGGGCAGGCAGAATCCGTGGAAGGACTCCCACATGGACAGGCAGGATGTAAGGAGGGACATACACCTGAGCAGGCAGCACACGAGACTGGGCTCCCCCATGGATGCAATCATAAAGGGGCACATAGGGGCCCACGTGGCATGCAGAACGCAGCTCCTGCATGGGAGCAATCACAGAGGAAAGCCTGCGTGGCCGGATGACAGAAGCAGTAAGGCCCCTGCGTCGTGAAACGACACCCACGTGGCCAGGTATCATGTGGCCAGGGATCTCCCAAGCAGAAATAGCAGTGGAGTAACACAAACATTGGCAGGCAGCATGTGGAGTGGGGCACACACATGAAATAGCTGCAGAACAGGGGACACACACCTGGAAGCTCTCAGGCAGAAGCAAACAGGGAGAAAGAATGGCGGGCACGCAGCACAGAAGGGGCGGCACCCACAGAGGCAGCACAGGGGGTGGAGGAGACACCTGGACTGGCGCCAAAGGGATCGTGGAAGGGTCCACGTCTACAGAAGACATTTGGAATGGCAGAGGTGTGAGGCTATGTGTAGCCAGAACACACAGGTGGAAAAGCAACGTATACCTCACACCCTGCAAGGCTGTTAATGTTTTCTGACGTCTCGAACTGCTCCGGCTGTCTGCTCCTCTGGTCCTGAAAGGCATAAAATCTTTGCTGAGCTCAGTACTCCACTGTATCCCACAGCTCTTAGGCAGGGCTCTGCTGGGTATGAAGGAGAGCACAGAGTATCTCCCTGCTCTCAGTTTCCAGGCCTCAGCCAGACTCCATCACTCTCTCTGAGCCTAGAGCCCAGGGGTTTTTCAGTCAAGGCCCTTCCAAACCCAGACATCAGACTAAGGAGAAATCCTTAGCTGCTTTCTCTCCACCAGGAAAGAGAGCTGTCACTTCCTTTAGTCTTAGCTACATGGAGCTTTGAGAATCTTTGCTTTCAGGGGTCAAACCTAGGCCAAGAACAATGTCTGTCACAAGCACCTATCTGACTTAGGGTTAAAAAAATCCCTTTCTGCTTTTCACAGTCAACTGTGGACCTCTCCCCTCCCCACAATAGTCTTTGCCACCAGAAGCCAAATTACTTTTTTCTTTTTTAAACAGCAAACACTAGCTAGCCTAAGATTCCATAGGCAGTTGATATGTCTTGGAACTTTTCTGCACCTTGCAAGGAGCAATGTTTCTGTCCAAAACCTCTATCTGACTAAGTTTATAAAATCCCCTCCAACTTCGGTTAATCCCTGAATGCTATCCCAAATGGCCTAGGCCTCAGGTCCTTTTTTCCTTAACTTCTTCCCACCAAGATCCACTGGTCTCCCAAGTGAATGAAAGGGAGGTAAAGATATTGAATATTTTTAAACATCTAGGTGGATAAAAGGGAAAATATCATCCTGTATTTCAATCCTTTGGTCCAAATTCCTGCCTTTTTTAGGAATCCATGTGCGACAGCAAGACTTCAGGGCTTGGAGCAACTCTAGGTAAGGAGACAGTGCAGGAATATCACAGTGACCAAGGGGTTAAGTTAAGTTGGCTGGTGGGGAGTCCTGGATAAGAATCAGCTCCTCTTCAAGGACAGCAATCCTAAAAATGTACCTGGTAGCTTACATAAAGCTGTCTGGACTTTTAAAATAAAGATTATAATGTAAGAAGGAGGGTTATGGTGAAACTAGGACTGCTAAGATCCATGGGTTTTTAATTAATTGATAAAAGGGAGGGTGGCAAAGAATTGGAAATTGAGGGGATGCCTATCAAGTGGGGAATGGTTGAACAAGTTGTGTTATATGAATGTAATGGAATATTGTTATGCTATAAGAAATGATGAACAGGCAGATTTCAGAAAAACCTGGAAAGACTTAGATGAACTGATACTGAGTGAAGTGAGCAGAACCAGGAGAACATAGTACACAGCAACATTGCTTGATGATAACTATAATATATTGAGCTTTTCTCAGCAATATCATAATATAAGACAATTCCAAAAGACACATGATGGAAAATGCTCATAATGACATTCAGAGAAAGAATCATGGAATCTGAATGCAGATTGAAGCGTACTATTTTCATTTTTGTTTTTGCTTTCTCATGGTTTTTCCCTTTTCTGATTCTTCTTTCACATGACTAATGTGGAAATATGTTTGACAGGATTGTACGTCTATGGCCTATATCAGATTGCTTGCTGTCATGGGGAGGTGGAAGGGAAGAGGGAGAGGGAGAAAAATTTGGAACTCAAAATTTTATGAAAATAAATGCTGAAAATTATCTTTACGTGTAATTGGGGGAAAAATAAAATACTACCAAGATTTTTTTTAAAAAGAGGAGGAGAAAATAAGTTTGCATGATAATTTTGTATATTTGAAAGTTATGCGTAGATTAGCAGTTTCATGTATTATGTTATGGAAATGTTTTATTCCATAAATTTAAAAACAAAAAATAGAAGCAAAAGTACCAAGGGTAGGAGGAGAGAGGACAAGGAAAGAAATATAGGGGACCTCAAGCCCTGGTTTGGAAGAAAGAGACTTTGCCATGGGAAACATTAAAAGCAAAGCAACTCTTTTGCAGAGGTGGGGGAATATGGTTGTGTAACACTGAATAAAATAGAGGCTCTGGCTGACGTGGTTCCTTAGTTTTGTTGAATTCTTCTCTTCTATAGTCTTTTTGAAAAATAAAGGATGGGGGAAGGGCAGCTAGGTGGTGCAGTGAACAGAGCACTGACCCTGGAGTCAGGAAGACCTGAGTTCAAATGTGGCCTCAGGTAAATAACACTTATTAGCTGTGTGACCCTGCGCAAGTCACTTAACCCCACTGCCTAGTCAAAGAAAAATAAAAAATAAAAATAAGGGATGGCTCTCTGGGAAGGCAGGACTGAGTGGGGATATACTGGGAAACATAGATGTTATTAAAACAAAAGGTATAAAAAAATGATTTTAAATCTTAGCAATAGTAAACAATATAGTTTGTCTTCTGTATTTGCAAGGAAGCTTAATTGTAGCTTGTTTTTAAATATGTGTGTATACCACTACCACCCCAAAACCATCCACCCTAAATCCTGCAAACAAATAAGAGCTCAGAAAGTCACTGCCAACAATTGGCAAACAACCATATTCCTCCTGTCACTTAACTGGGCTTAAAACCCGGCCACGTGCATTAACTAGCATGCTTGCACCATTATCCATTCTATTTACCATCAATTTTTCTGTTGTTTTTGGTTTTTACCTTTCCTTTCTTTGGGATGATCAGGGTTGGAGGATCCAGATCCCTGATTCCCTCAGTGTGAAAGCCTGGGCAACTCTCCTTTGCAGCTTAAGAGTCTTGGAGAGTTCGCAGGGCTCTCCAAGGTGAAGTGATTTGCCCAGGGCCACAGAGCTAGAATCAAGCAACAAGCTTTGTTAAATGCCTACCACGTGCCAGGCACTGTACTAGATGCTATGGGGGTTGGGGATAGGGGAAGAGACAGACAAAAACCATGAACTAAGTCATTCCTACGCTGAAGTGGTTTGAGTACATGCCTGAGGAAAGGCTTGGAAGGAAGGCTTGCCCCTTAGCCACAAAACCATGTTTCTTCATTTTCCTCTACATTGGCCTAGGCAAAGTCAACTTATGTGTCTTTTTCTTCTGGTTCTGCTTTTTTTACCCTCCATCATTTGACAGATGTACGGAAGCTTAACCTGAAACATCATTCTGTCTATCCAAAGAACCTGCCCTTTCTGGCACTTGGACATGCTTTCCAGTATCTTACACGTCCCTCTAAAGGTGAACAAAGTTGACTTTTGTATGGGGACACTCTGACCCTGTCCCATTCAGGAATTTGACCACAAGAGAGGGGCAGATAAAGCCATACCAAATGCTCACTTCATCAAGAGGCCAAGCAACTCCAGGTCCCCCAAGTCCGCTATTATAAAACGGGGGAAGAAGAGGAGGAGGAGAAGAGAGTCAATAGGCTCTAAGGTGCCTTCCAGTTATGACCTTCTATGAATCCAAATACTGACAGCACAAATAGCCCAATGCATACACTAACTCAGAGTGAATGAAGAGATTGTTAATTAGCCAAAGGCAAGACCTCTATACTGCCCTAGCCAAAAACCACTCTGAGGAGAAAACCTTGGTATGTCTAGCGACCCATAACGTTGCACTCAAAACAAAGCCAAAAAGCCTGTGGAAAGAATCCTTGGAAGAATATATATGTATCTTTTAGCATGGCTCCTTATTTCACAACTAAAGAAACTGAGGCCCTGAGGTACAAAATAATTTGCCCACATTCAAGCCAGTTAAATGACTGAGCTGGTATGTGAACCAAATTATTATTAACACACACCTTTTCTGCCCTTGCCCCATGTCGTCATTTTATATTTACTTTAATTGACCCCTATACCCATTCCCCCAGGAGAAGAGAAATAGGAAGTCATAGCTAAAAGTCATGGATTATGCCAGAAGATAAAGAATTAGCTACCTGTAGTACAAAAGGCAATGCAGAGGCATGCACAAGCTTAGCATATTGCCAAAACTGAACTGGGTGGAAGGGGCATGAAAACTACCAGAGAAACATAGGGTCAGAAATGCATGTGGGAAGCCCCGGGGTACTGGAGGGAAGATGACAGCTCATGGGTCCCCCAGGAATCTGCACAATGTCAGATGGTCTAGAGGGGGCCTCCCAGTACCTTGGAACAGATACAGAACCTGGACAAGAGTCACACAGGATGAAGGGTTGTGAACAGGCCGCAATCTGTACCAGTGGCGGGAGTGCCCACATGTCTGAGACCAGAGGATCAGGGTGACCTTCAAAGGTCAGGTCATCTCGTCTAACTCACTCATTTATGGACAAAGAATTGCAGTGAGCAGCAGCAGCAGCAGTAGGATTCAAATTCAGGTTTTCTGACTCCAAAACTGGCATTCTTGGCATTGCGTCACACAGCCTCATCCTCTTTTGCACAGGACACGATCTGGATTCCTATCTGGTAGCCTTTGAGGATTATCATCCCGCCCTAAAGGCTTTATTTTTATTAAAAACCTAACACCCACATCTAAAAGCAGTACAACCAATTAAACCTCCTTAGTATTACAGTGAATGTCAGCACAAAAAGGGTCATCACCATTTTTTAGTCACTCCCTTTAAGTTCCTACCAGGGTTCTTGTTCACATTGACAAAAGCAATTTTCTGTTACATTGCGAGCTCATTGGCCATTTGATGTCTCTTTTACTTCATCATCACGTATAGTGCTGTTTTGTTTACTTGATTCACTGTAGTTCATTCAAGTCTTACCAAGTTTCTCTGAATTTCTCGTATTTGTTGTTTCTCATGGTGTAATAACATTCTTTTATATACCACGCTTAAAGGTTCAACCATTCCCCAACATATACCTACTTTGTTCCACTTTATTACCACAAACAGCACTGCTGTAAGTATTTTGGTAAATATGGGCCCTTTCTTTCTTATTTTGGTATAGATGGTCCCTTTCTTTCTATCTTTCATTTCCTTAGAGAACATTGCCGGGAGGCCAGCTAGGTGGTGCAGTGAATAGAGCTCTGGCCTTGGAGTCAGGAGGACCTGAGTTCAAATCCAGCCTCAACACTTACTAGCTGTGTGCCTCGACACTTACTAGCTGTGTGACCCTGGGAAAGTCACTTAACCCTAACTGCCTCACCAAAAACAAATGGAAAAAAAATAGAGAACATTGCTGGGTCAAAGATATGAAACAGTTTACTAACTTTTTTTACAGAATTCCAAACTGTTTTCAGATGGTCCAACTACAGCGTTATGACTGTTGGCTGTGGTCTTTCTTTCTCAAAGAGCACCAAAACGACATTTCTATGTTAGAGTTAAGTCACAGTGTGTCCCTCTGTGGCTGATCAGACCAATATGAGCTTGGAAGGCTCTACCACAGGTCAGCCCAAGTAGTCCACATGTACATTTGACGTGGATTCTCTAAATTTGCCCATCTCGCATTTCTTTTGAACTACTTCAATTCTGGTTTGCTCCTAGAGCACAGCACCCTCTTTGATGAGGGCACAGTATAATACACAGGACCCAACAGGAAGTTAGGCTCCCTAACTTGGTGGAGCCCTTCCAACATTCCGTTTCTATCTTTTATCCTCTTTGCCAATTTGATGCATGAGGTAACACCTCACGCTTTTGTTGGCTTTATTTGAATTTCTCTTAGTAGTGAGTTGGAGTGATCATCTTTATGGTCACTCACAGGTTTGCATTTCTTCTTCTGAAACCTGTATCTTTTTCCCATTTATCACCCAAGGAATGGCTCTCAGTCTTATAGATTTGGGGCAATTCTCAACATATCTTGGACACCAGACTTATCAAGATATATTTGATGCAAAGGGTCCTTCCTCCTACTCTTCTTACTCTAACCGTATTGATTTCATTCACTCCTCACTATCTTCCATTTCAAATAATCCCTCTTCCTGCTATAGCCTCAAGACCATCATTGCCTGAGGTTTTCTGGTGAGATCCCTGGTTGTATTCCTTCCCTAACGCTTTCCCCATTCCACTCTGAGGGTGCTGGTCCCTGCCCCAAGATGAGGACCCTGGTGGCCTACCTTACCTTGGAGTTGTTATTACTGGCCCCAGTGTGTGGAGCTTGAGGGACTACCTCGTAACCCCTTCCTCCTGCTCCCTTGGGTGTCTTCATTTAAATCAGGTGGTCCTCCCTCTAAAAGCACCAAATACAAGGCCCCACTGCTTTCAGCCCTGACTAGCCAAATTTTCCTGCAAAGCCTTTTTAGTCCCTGCAGAAGAAATTACTAGTCAATAATCCCACTGCTGGAATTATATTATGAAGGTAGTTCAATCATGCCCTCTCCACTTCTCTCCCCCCCCCAAAACAAGCTATCTGCATTACTTGTCCTTACAAAAAAACTGAGAAGTAACCTAAATGTCCAACAATAGAGGAAAGGTTCAATTAATTTGGACATATTCACATAATGGAATTCAGACTGATTAAGCCTAATAGCTTAAAAAAAATCTAGACTGACCTTAATGAAATAATATCAAGTGAAAAAAGAGGAACCAAAAAATACAGAGTACTCACTATGACTAAAGGGTTTTTGAAAAGTAAATGGGAATGAATGGGTAAAGAATCCTTGGGAGATGACTTAAACATTATGATCTGTTTCCACGTTAAAATGACAGACAAAGTAAGTCTAATTAGTTGCACTGGGGTTCAATCTTAAATTCATAGTACTTTTAAATAATTTTATTATTAAACTTTGAAGATAACTGTTAAAAACGACCAGTTAAAGGTAATTCATGATGATCCAAGAATTGCATTATCAGCAGTTAGTAATGTTGTTTTTCAAATGTTACTGACATCATCTCCTACTCTACTTGACACATTCTGCTGACATAAAGAGATGGTCAGAGGTGGGAAGCATCTTGAAGACTCCAGGTTCAAAGGATTAAAACATGGGTTGTTGACCTGAGGCCCATGAACTCTTTTTTTTTTCCAGGCAATTGGGGTTAAGTGACTTGCTCAGGGGTCACACAGCTAGTAAGTGTCAAGTGTCTGGTCTGAAGCTGGATTTGACATGAACTCTTTTTCAAAACATATTTTGATCACTATATTTCAATCACTGGTCTTCTTAGTAATCCTCTGGATTTTATTTTATATATTTACGATCATGATTGTGAGAAGGGACCTATCCATAGGCTTCACCAGACTGGGGGCTCCCAAAAGGTAAAGGACCCCTTATTTTGAGCTTCAGAGCAGACGTAGGCAAGCCCCTACAGTACTTGTGGTGTACAAAATAGGAGGAAGACAGAGGCCATGGTACATGGCATAATCCAGTCTACACATACCAGGAATCCCTTCCAGAATATTCTGAATAAGTGGGTCCTATTAAGGCCCTCCTTGAAAACTTCCAGTGACATTGCATTCACCTGGTGAAACCTAGGGACCCCTTCTCAGACTCAGGTTTTTAAATTCATAAAATACATAAGCTTACAAAGGAAACCAATGATATTGAAATCTAGTCATTAATTTTTTTTTTATCATATTAAATTGTATCATAGGGTGATAGGGACTAAACCTGTGATTTCATTCATCTAGGGAATTTCTGATTGAGGAAACAGTACCAATACAGATTGGTTGGCACCTAGAGCAGCAGAGGGCAGGCCCTGAAGTCAAGTGATGTGGTTTTGGGGGTTTTTTTAGGCAATTGGGGTTAAGGGACTTGCCCAGGGTCACACAGCTAGTAAGTGTCAAGTGTTTGGTTTGAGGCCGGATTTGAACTCAGGTCCTCCTGACTTCAGGGCCAGTGCTGTATCCACTGTGCCATAAAGCTGCCCCAAGAGATGTATTTTAAGGCCCACATGTGACACACACCGGCTCTGGGACCCCAGGCACGATAGCTACTAACCTCAGCTCTCTAGGCAACTCTCACAAACAGTAGATCTCCTGTAAAGACACCGTCAGGAGCCAAACAAAAATTTCAAAACAAAGCAAATAATGAAATAATTTAAAATCGAAGTGGTAAATTTGCAGTATGTGTATACATATGTATATACATAGCATGCATGTGCATATATGTGTATGGTATGTATCGTGAATGTTTATGTACATGTTTGCATATATTTTTATATACATACACTCAGCACAATAAGTGCTAATTGTTTAAAATCTATTCTAAGGGCAAAATTAGTCCACCTATAATTCTTGGGTTTAAAGAATTTGGGGAGAAGGGTCTTCCTAGGATTCACAGCAAGAGTATTTCTGAAGATGATAACATTTTGCTTTGGAAACTACATTTGTGCCATTGTACAAACGTTAACCTTTTTAGGCAGACATTCACTCGGATCTTATACCAAGACCATTTGGAGGAAGAAGGTAGAAAAATCATTTGGACTAACAATTTCATTAGGCATATTAACCTAGAGAGGATTCATAGAAACTTTTTTTTAAGTAACCTAGATAGCTTCAATCAGTAAAACTGAACATTCTCCAAGTTCAAATGACTAGGGGCTAAGATAAACATGTTTTTACTGGATTTAAAAGCTAGAGTATACCCCACAAAACATGCCACTGAACCCAGGTCACTGATTTTTTTTCCCCTTGATGTCAGGGATCATCAAATCTCTGCCCAGACAAATGAGGTAAGTAGAAAGAAAAGCGGCTGTCCAGCCTACCTGACTGGGCTGTTGTGAGAAAAGAGCTTTATATGCCTGAAAGGTACTCTAAAGCAGGGTTGGGGAACCTGCCTGCAGCCTCCAGGCCACATGTGGCCCTCTAGGTCCTCAAGTGAGGCCCTTTGACTGAATCCAAACTCCACAGAACAAATCCCCTTAATAAAAGGATTTGTTCTGTCAAACTTGGACTCAATCAAAAGGCTGCACCCAAGGACCTAAAAGGCCACATGTGGCCTGGGGGCTAGAATCCAGAGGTAAGAATTACTGGTATTATTTTAAAAGTTTCAACAATTAGAGTCTACTCCAAAAAACTTAGGACAGGACAACTTCCTTGGATGCCAGGCCTTCAGAGGGGAGACCATCCTGCTGCCCTTTGAAAATCTTGACTTTTCACCCTAAAACCCACTAATCTTGGACCCACTGAAATGCGTGGTCTCGAGCCCATACAGGGTTCTTTCTCTGCAGCTCTCACTTGTTCTGCTCTGTATGGCTCTAGGGGATGGAAGAGAAAAGTAAGGGACGACCCACAGCTCTATGGCACTGGGTGAGCCTCCGTACCTTTCTTAACCTCACAAAAACAACCTCAGGAGGAGGGTGGTCCAGACACTGGACACCTTCCCCCCATCTTCACCCAATATGAAAATGAAGATCAGAGGACCTGAGAAGCTCAGGGGGGATTAACATGCAGGAGAAAGAAAGAGCGCTGGGATTTGGTCTTACTTACTAGGACTGGGTGACCTTGGACAAATCACTTGGGCTCCCTGGGCCTCAGTTTCTAAATAAGGGGGGAAGAGTCTAGCTGTTCTCTGAGTGCCCACTCATTTCTAAAAGTTGGGATGCGTTCCATGGCAAGGCATTCATCCTCTATAACTCTGGGAAGTTGACCCTCTCAGGGTCATGCAAGTGTGAAGGGAGGAAGGCAGGACTGGAACCCAGGACAGCGGGGTACCCCACATCCCACCCCCCAATCTCCTATGGAGAAAGGAGAAGAGGCCAAGTGGGCTTACTGCACATCCGAGGCTGGGAGGGGGCCACTGCTACTGCTGCTGTTGGGGAGGACCCCTCGGAGGAGGAAGGTCAGGAGGTGGCCACTGCCTGGATGATGGACCACAACAAGGACCTCTGCGCCCCTGTAGTAGAAGCATTGATGTAGCAAGTAAGCAAAGCCAGGGATAGAGGAGGCAGGGGAGGGGGCGGGGGCGGAAGGGAAGGGTGGGGCCGAAATCAGAACAGGTGAGGTGGCTGGGTTAGCCGCGAGCGCCCCCTGTGGCTGCTCTAGGTACAGCAGTTTCATAGCTCTCTGGAAGATTCCCTAAGCACGTGGTACTCGCTTGCCCCTCCCCCTCAGGCTGTGGAAGCGCCATCTTCTTCCTTTCTTTTTTTTTCCTCGATCCACAGTCACGCCTGAGGACGTGGCCTCATTCCCGCTGGCGCCCGGCTCCCCCCAGCAAATGCTTGCTCCTCTTCCCTTCCTCTTTCCTTCCTTTGTAGCCTCCCTAAGCACCCTCCCACAGCACGGGTTCCTAAGCACTTGCCTCCCTCTCTACCATCCCCACTTCCTTTGTCTTCTTCCTCCATTTTTTTCCATTTTTCCATCGCCTTCATTTACTCCTCGTGAGTATTCGGCCCCCTCGCAGCCACCCAAGACTCCACCCTACTTCCTTTCCCTTGGGCCTTGCTCAATGGCTTCCCTAAGCTCCTGCCCGCTGTCTTTTCTTTCCTTTCCTTTTCACCAGAACCCCCCCACCCCTCAGCCCTTTCCTTTCTTTCTCTCCTTTGGGCCTGGCCTCCCTCCTACAACACCCCTCCAACTGCTGTCCCAAGCCACTCCGCTTCCTAGCCTTCCTTCACTTTCCTTTTCTTCTTACTACTCTAGCTCCTCTAGGCAACACGCTTTCTTGCCCCACTCCTCCCTTGCGTTCTAGTGCTTTCCATGACTGCTCACGCAGCATCCCAACCTCGAACAATACTCGGTACACACGGCAGAGGGGAAGGAAGGAAAAGGGGGCAAAGGCTTGGCAGGCGGCCCTAGGCTGCCCCGCGGGCTGCTCACCAGGTGGTCGGAGGCTCTGTTCCGTCAGGTCCCCAAAGTCTGGGGTGGGGGTGGGGAGCTGCCTAACGGCTCGCCTCTTGGGGGAGGGTCGCCGCGCACCCTGAGGAGGCTGCCTCGAGTTCCTAAAACACCGCTCAAAGACACAAAAGGGGAATCCTCAAGTGAGCTGTAGCCGGGGCACCAACGGCACCACAGGAGGACCCATTTGGGCCTACCCATCCAAGCCCGCTTCCTGCTTTACCCATTTATTTACCCACTCGGGACCCCCCCCCATTCACTTAGGACCTTCTCCCCTCCCCCCCACCTGCCCACTCAGGGCCTCCTCGCCCCCCCCACCTGCCCACTAAGGCCTATCAGCCTCAAGACAGATAGCCCCTCTCCCTACCTACTCCGCCGCTCTTCAATGGCAGAATGCGCTGGCGGAAGGCGGGGCACGGTATATATAGGGCACCAGCGCGCCCTTTTCAGAGGTGGAGCTACTGCACATGCGGACAAGGGTTCAATCATCCCTCCCCCCACGGGCCCTGGCCACGTGCCCTGACCATGTGCCCTGGCCACGTGCCCTGGCCACGTGCCTTGGCCACGTGTCTCTGCGTATGGAGGGGTGGGGAGGTCTCTGCTGGGTCTTGGGCCCTGTTCCGGGATGCCACGTGGGCTCTTTGCGCTAGGAGCCGACTGCCAAGGGCTGCGATCCTAGTGAGCTTCAAGACCCTCCAGCAGTCTGTCCTTTCATGGATAGGGAAACTGAGGTGTCGCCATGCTGCTTAACCTCAGTTTTAATGGGTGACGTTTCCCTGGCCTTGTCAGCACACATCCTCGGGGGCTGAGGTCCATAGGCTGAGTATACCTTCATATGAGACCACAAGCTGAGAGGGCAGTCCTGGGCTGGCATGGACAGAAAAGGACACTGGGTAGCCCAGCAAAGGCAGAGGGAGGAAAGGCAAAGACAGTACTCCTTTTCTTTCTCCCCTCCCCCTCTGGAGGCGGTTTCAACACCTGCCAACAGAGGGAGGGAGGGAGGCCAAAGCACCTGAGGGTCCCTCAGGCAACAAGCATTTATTAAGCACCTACTGTGTGCCAGGCACTGTGCTAAGAGCTAGGGATTCAGAGAAAGACAAAATCCAGTCCCTGCCCTGGGGGACCTCACGGTCTGATGGGGGAGAAAACACATGGGGTACATTGGAGATCATCCACAGCGGGAAGGCCCCAAAAGTAAGGAGGCCTGGGAAAGGCTTCCTGTAGAAGGTGGGACATTAGCCGAGAAGTGGAGGAAGCCAGGAGGGAGAAAGGAGGAGGCCCCGGGATAGGGAACATGCCAGCAAAAAGGCTCAGACTCTGGAGATGGAGTGTCCTGTGCTGGGAAGCCAATGTTACTGGATCACAGAGGATGCTGGAGAGAGCAAGGCCTAAGAAGATAGGAAAGGTAGGAAGGGGCCGGGTTATGAACCTCGTCAAAAGCCAAACACAAGATTTTGTATTGATCCTGGGGGTAATAGGGAGCCCCTGGAGTTTAGGGGCTGGGGGGAGGGGTGACCTGTCAGACCCAGGCTTAGGGAAGATGCATTGGACACCTAAATGGAGTATGTACAGGAGTGGGGAAACTGCTTGAGGCAACATGCCAACCTGCAGGTTCTTGCAACAATCCAAGAGTGAGGTGAAGAGAGTCTACACCAGGTTTATGGCACTGTCAGAGAACAGAAAGGGGCAAATACAAGATATGTTATAAAGTCAGAAATGACTGGAATGAACAAATGATAAGATATGGAGGATGAGAGTGAGGAATTGAGGATGACATCTAGGTGGTGAGTCTGGGTGACTGGCAGGTAACTCAGAAGTTAGGAAGACGGAAGGGTTTGGGGGAAGATAAGCTTAATTTTGGACATGTTGAGTTTCAGACATGTACAAGCAGTTGAAAGTGGGAGAATCAGGAGAGCGGTGTCATAAAACCTAGACAGAGAAAATCAACGAAAAGAGGGCAATGGACAATGTTAAAGGAACAGAGATGTCCAGAAGGATGAGGATGGAGAAAAGTCCATTAGATTTGGCAATTAAGATATCGTTGGCAACTTTGGAGAGTTGCTTCATAAATGCTTACTGATAGGTTCAACCAAGGTGTCCTGGTACAGGGACATTACATAGAACACTTCCAGGGGCAGCTAGATGGCACAGAGGCTAGAGCACCAGCCCTGGAGTCAGGAGGACCTGAGTCCAAAGCTGGCCTCAGACACTTGACGCTTACTAGCTGTGTGACCCTGGGTAAGTCACTTAACCCCAATTGCCTTGGGGGGAAAAAAAGAACACTTCCAGCTTCAGCCAACTTTAGACAATAAGGGATCCCCAACTCAGGACAACATAGGGCAACGCATCCTCAAAACTCAGCTCAGGATATCTGGAATATTATATCGAGGTCGGGATACCAGAGTTCAAGAAGTACATTGACAGGTTGGAGACTGTCCAGAGGAAGGCAACCAGAATGGTGAAAGGCCTTGAGTCTACATTGTGGGAACATTGGTTAAAGGAACTGGGAATGCTTGGTCTGGTGAAGAGAAGACTCAGAGGGGATATGAGAGCTGTCTTTAGTTTGTATGTATCTTATATTTACTTATTATCTGTGAACATGTTGTTATAACCCTTCCTCCAGTAGAATATAAACTCCTTGTGGGTAAGGACTACATGACTTTCACATCCCTGGCATGTAGCACAATGCTAGGCACTGAAAAAATACCTTGATGGATTGATTGAAGTGTTTAAAAGGCCGTCATATGGAAGAGGGATTGTTGTTGTTGTTCCGTCCTTTCAGTTGCGTCAGATTCTTTGTGATCCCTTTTGGGGTTTTCTTTTTGTTTTCTTTGCTAGGCAGTGGGGTTTAGTGACTTACCCAGGGTCACACAGCTAGTAAGTATCAAGTGTCTGAGGCTGGATTTGAACTCAGGTCCTCCTGATTCCAGGGCTGGTACACTATCCACTGTGCCACCTAGCTGCCCCTCTTTTGGGGTTTTCTTGGCAGAGATACTGGAGTAGTTTGCAATTTCCTTCTCTAGCTCATTTTGCAGATGAGGAACTGAAGCAAACAGGGTGAAGTGACTTACCCAGGATCACACAGCTAGAAAGTGTCTGAGGCTGAATTTGAACTCAGGTCTTCCTGACTCCAAACCTGATGCTGTATCCACTATGACACCTAGCTGCCGGAAGAGGGATTAGGCTTGTTCTGTTCGGCCACAGAGTGAAGAACAGTGGGCCGATGTTTCAGAGAGGCAGGTTTCTATTCAATGTTAGGCAAAGGTTCCTAATAATTAGAGCTGTCCCAAAGGGAAATGGACTGCCCTGGAAGGTAGTGGTCTTTACCCTGGAGGCCTTCAAGCAGAGGCCAGAGGATCAACTGTTCAATTTATTGTAGTACACAGGTTGGACTAGATGCCGGCTAAGGCACCATCTCTGAAATACTGTGGTTCTATGACGTAGCTGGGCTCTTCTGGTGACAGGCAGGAGTATATACAGAATCCAGTGCCCTCAAAACAAGAGTGGAAAGTCAAGTGCCAACTTCTTTCTCCCCTGTCCCACCCCTCCCCCAAACACAGGGTATAATAATAATAATAACAATAACAGTAACAATTATATAGCATTTACTCTAGGCCATGCACTGTGCCAATCAATGGCATTAAGGTATTTGTGTCTATCTGCCCGAGGCAGTGAGCAGCATTGATTGCCCTGACCTTCTAGAACAAGGATTTGTATCTCACTCTTTGGAGGCTTTTGGAAAGTTCAGCAAAATAAAATAATAATAATAAAGGGACTAAGTGGATTTTTAAAACATGTTTGTTGTTACATTTTGGTAGAATGCTTCAGCTCTGACAAGGAGGTGAGAATATGGGGCCTGGGGTCAGCCTGAAAAAAAGAGTCTCCCCATAAAAACTTAGAGCAGCATTGCAAATGATAATATTTTTCCAGCTAACAGAATATTTTTAGTCTATTCTCCCTTCAGGAAGTAGTCACCTCATACAGTAAATGATAATGCCATAGATAGGCTCAGGTATATATACATTGGTAGAAGGATGGCCATACCAGGAGTGTATCTCAGGACATCACAGATCCTTTGTGTATTTGTATAAAATGCGGATGATAATAGTACTTGTAGTGCCTACCTTGATGGGTTGTTGTGAGGAAAGTGCTTCACAGACATTAAAAATACTTTAGAAATCGGCTTTATTTTATCTATTCTTTTTTCCTTCCCTAAAAGTGTTTGAATGTAGAAGTGTCCTGCATAGCCCCTTCATAGTGGTGATGTGATATGATGAAAAGATCTCCACTCTGAGCCTCAGTTTCCTCCTTTGTAACATAAAAGGATTGGATTTAGATGACAGGCATTTTTTTCCCACCTAAGATGAAACCAGCTGGAGAGGGGGCAGGAATGATGCTACAGACAGAAGATGATAGGGGGAAAGCCATGAAGCCCACGCAAGGCATAATCTTACAAAGGGTGTAGAGTTACACCAAGAGAGGGTGCAGCTCCATCTTTCTGCTAGCACAGGACCCTACTCTCTTGCCCTCTCCCAGGGCCAGCCTCCCCTCACTCACCTTTCAAAAGCCTGGGACCGGTGGACCACTAGGTTTGAGGCATGGGGACAGAAGTCTTTGGTCCACAGTAGGGAAGAAGGGTGTCCCTCACCATGCTGGCATTGAGAATGGCCTTCTCTGGTTGGGACTAGCTTTGATTCTCTAACGCTCCTTCCAGGTCTAAAATTCTATGCTTCTTTGTTGCATAAATAGACTTTATGTGCTCAGAAGTTTTTGGAAGTCCACCTGGGGCCCATGAACTTGTTTGTTTGTTTTTTTGAATATATTTTGACAACTATATTTTCATACAATTGGTTTCTTTTGTAATCCTATGTAGTTCATTTTATGCATTTAAAACCATGAATCTGAGAAGGGGTTCATAAGCTGCCCCACACTGCCAAGGGGCCCGGGACCACAAAACAAAGTTTAGAACTCCTGCTCTGGACCTTTGGTGGAATGGAAAACCCACCATGTTTGGAGGCAGAGGACCTGGGTTCAGGTCCTAGCTCTGCCAGTGCTACCTGTGTGTCTCTAAGTAAAATCCTTCCCCTCTCTGGCCCCCTTTTTTCTCATCTGTAAGACAAGGCAGCTGCCTTGGATGGCCTCAGAGGCCCCTGTCAGCTCTGAATCCCTGACTCTAAGTAACTTGATCTCCTGGGCAGGGGGAAAAAAGAGACTGTTCAAAATCGCTAGTGGATTAGGCCCTGCCTGCTGCTCCCTATATGGCCCTATTTCCAAATAAAGTATTGCCACACTTCAAACTCAATCCAATCTGGATGCCAAATCACAGTCATTCACCTTCCATTTTGCTTCAATTTTGCCAAAAGCATCCATCAATAAGCAATATAAATTTTCTTGTTCCTCCGAATTCAACTACTGGTAACATGAGCTGACTCAGAGCACTGTTTA